CAAAACAGCAACCAGATCTCCTGTCCAGAGGGGGAAAGGAGAAGCAAGTGGGGAGAGAAGTTACAGGCTCCTAAACCTGCCCAGGTCTGTTGACTTTAGATTCACTTCTCATTGCACAAGACAAGGAGCCGAGGCAGGAAAAGTAGGTTCCTACCTCTGCCTGATCCCTGCTACTGCCCTGGGTGACAATGTCAGGGTGAGCCCCAGTGCAGCTGCTTCGATTTTGTTCTTTTTTAGTATTTGGTTCTGGGAGGGTTTAAATATATATGTTGGTGGGTTTAGAAAAACGCCCCAGTGTCTTCACAGTGTGGCAGAATGCAAAACGTCTGTTTGCAGGGAAGGGGAGGGTGGTGAACCAGTGTGTGAAATTGTCTAAAGTCCCCATCTGAAACTTTCCCTCTGCCCTTTTCACCCTGACAGGCTGGAAAATAACATCCAGGTTTCACTCCACATTTTCCCACTCTCCCTGGGGATAGCGAAGGGAAATGGCTGCAGCATAACAGGCACAGGTAAGCGATTATCAGGGAGCAGGTGTGTTTGGGGGTCCCTACCAGTGTCCCTGATTTCCCTCTCACGCCGGGGACTCTGTGTGCTCCTCCATTACACTTAATAAAACCACCAACTCTTTCTCCTCAGGTAGTTAGTGATTAGATACTGTTCTAGTTCCTTGATAGATGAGGGCCAGTCCTCTATTGAACTAACAAACAAGTCCATTTTCTCCAAACATCCAGACATATTTACCATTTTTTTCTCCCCCCTATCTCCCCAGTAAATGAGTAGTTTAATGACCGTCCCAGTGATTGCAGGCTGTGATTTCCTTTTGGTTTCACTTCCACTGGGTCTCTGGAGTCATTGCCTATTCCACTCTATCCCTGGGTTCCAATCCTATCCGCATAATCAATTGTTGTGGTTTTTGCTCTACATTCACTGCTGTTCTGACAGTTTTGGAGCTTTCTAAAACTAGAATATGGTGAGGGCTAACAAGCTATTTATAGTTACCCACTTCGTCAGACGCATGTATATTCACCCACAAAAGCTTATGCTCCAATACTTCTGTTAGTCTATAAGGTGCCACAGGATTCTTTGTCACTTTTTACAAACTATTTATAGGGACACTACATTCTCTTTAATGTGAAGCTGGAAGATGTGGGAAAGGCCCAGCAGGAAGAGTTAGAAATTACCCATTATGAGGAAACAGCCACATGTGCAGAGGTTTATCAAAGACCAACTACCAACCCGCAGGACTCCGAAGCCAAGAGTCACTCCAGAAAGTCAGGAGACAGGCATAGTTTCATAAGTTCTAAGGCCATAATGGACCATTTTGATCATCTAGTCAGACCTTCTGAATAATGCAGGCCATAGGACTTCCCTGTATTAATTTCTGATTGAAATAGAGTGGCTCTTTTAGAAAAACATCCAATCTTGATTTTAAAATGTCCAGTAATGGAGAATCCACTGCAACCCTTGATAAGTTTTCCCCAATGCTTAATTACCCTCTCTGGTAGAAAGTTTGCACCTAATTTCTAGTCTGAATTTCTATTGCTTCAGCTTCCAGCCACTGTATCTTGTTGTACTTTTGTCTGCTAGATTGAAGAGCCCATTATCAAACTTCTGTCCCCCATATGAGTACTTGTAGATGGGGATCACGTCACCACTTAATTATTTGTTTGATAAGCTAAATGGCTTGAGCTCCTTGTGTCTATCACTATAAGGCAGGTTTTTCAATCCTTTAATCATTCTTGTGGTTCTTTGAGCCCTTTCCAATTGTACAGCATCATTCTTGAATTGTGGATACTAGAACGGGACATAGTAGTCAAGTAGCAGTTGCACCAGTAACA